ATGCTGGCAGCTACTTGCTAAACTGCTGTGAGAATATTTTGCACTTTTTTCATAACCTCAGAACAACTGAACAGGGTCTTTCCTCCAAAGTGTTTCGACTCAGCTCCCACAACACAGTCATTTTTTTAAAAGAGAAAATGTACTATTTCTAGTAACAAGCCTGGCAAAGACACTGACCAAAGTGATATCCCTGGCACATAATATCTCTGGGTTTTAGGATGCTTTGTAACCATTGCCTGCATGAATTAAATGACTCCTTTCTGTTTAGACAGCTGGAATTCTGTGTGGCACTAGATGGCAATATTCCCTCAGCTCCTGCAATGGTCAGGGGAGCCATACACTGCAAAAGGACAAGTCCTGACCTTGTTTCCTTGTTATCACCCATGTAGCTCATATTATAACAGCCAGGTTTTATGTGACTAAACTCAATCTGGGCTGCAGGGCTTTTTAAAATCTCTGTGCGTTCATCCACCTACCTTTACAGCTTCACAGTTCTCTGTCAAAACATTTATTGGACACTAGGTTTACTGTGTGGGATCTTCTGTTTCATTAAGGAAGCTCTTACGGTCTCAGGCTGTTCTATGATGTTGATGCTCAAATCCACAGGCAGGAAATATATACATCCGGAATATTGCACTAGTTTCCTGCTGCCTTTTGTGTATTAATGTGGTGACAGATTCAGTCAAGTCATTACTCAGATATAATGTTGCCTCATGTCAATTGTAAGTAGATTATTTTTTGCACTCATGTTTGTTCTCATATAAAATCAGCATAATCTAAACTCAGCAACTGTAAAAAAGTAATTCTATGTCTGTACCCAGATGGATTTAACCCTATCCCTGTGTGATATTTTTAAAGGTTTTCTCTAGTCAAAGAGCTTATAGACAGCAAGGAACAGGACCAGCTATGAATATTGCCTATCTTCTTTGCATGATTAGGATTTTTTTTGCCTTTGTACCATTTTATCAGGGTCCAGGTCTACTGAAATTGCTCCTTTCAAAAGCAGGCTTGTCATTGATTTTTGTGCGACCGCAATCATTATAACGATTTTCCAATAATTAAGTACTCTGAAACAAAAGTGGAGCGTGAATTGTCCCTCCTTACATACCACGCCTCTCTTCTGGCCTGCTGGAGAGCCCCAGAGCCCAGCTGAAGGCCTCAAAGTTCTTGAAACTGTAAACAAACAAAATTTCACACTGATAGGAAGTAGTGAATTATTCTCACTCCTCTTGTTCAAAGGATGGAGGAATTTCTATGTAAAAACCCACCTATCTCCATAGGTTTCTCCGTGTGAAACTCCACCACCTGAGCCCTCTCCCTGTGCTCAGTGTTTTCTGTTAGTTGCACACTTTTCTATGGGTTGTTTTTTCAAAGTCAATAGAAAATATTTCACATGTGCTAAAATACAAGGTTGCTTTTGCTAAAACAATCAAATGCCTTTTGCAGATAAAACAGGCAAGGTATGTCATGTTTCATGATGCAAAGGCCTGTTTAAATAATTCTTGATGATATAATAAAATACTTGACTAAATGAAGTGTATTACACTGTGTACATAGAAACCTTGGAGTTTGTGTACCCATATTTTCCCAAAGCATTCTTTCTTGTTGCACTTGCATCTTTTTCTATTCACAGCCTCGTTTATATATTTACCAAACAGCTCAAGTGGCCAAGCAATTACTATAACAAATGTGTAATATGCAGTAAATGGTGTATCATGAGGTACAAAGTATTGTGTGGGTTCAGGCCCTCATCCAATAATCAGTAAATGCAGAAAGAAGACTTCATTGGCCTCAACACATTTTTCAGTGTATCTTTACTGGCACTAGAACTTAGCTTGGAAGACATGATTAAAATTCAAGTGTTATACATATCTGGTATGGACAAGTGATATAATTTCTTGCAGGCACCAAATGTTCTATGTCACAACACTTTATCCATCTCAAATCATAAACCACGAAATACTTGCTGGTAACATCTACTTTTGCTTGGGCAAATGAATATTAAAACTTGTTATCACTGACTTCCTTGTTTTGTTAAGGCAGAAGAAAAGGTAATATTTTTTAGCAGCACAAGAACTTCTTAAAGAGCAAAATATTTAGCAGCAATGTGTTTTTCAGTTGTCATGATTGAACTTGGAAGTGGGACTAAGACCTCTGGCTTTTCTAGAGTTTCTTTGTGGCCTTGCTGATATAATTTGATCTTTTCATAGGGAGCATTCAGGTACCTCTGGAGCTTTCTTGAATTCATGTTCTTGTAATCGTGTCTGCTTCAGTACACATTTGTCTAGATGGAGCAGAGGGAATGGGAAGGATCAGAACAGTCTCTGCTAACTTAATGCCTTTCATATTCCCAGTGGTCCTAAAATAAGAGCTCAAATTCTTTGTTGCAAAAGACAAACTCTCAGGATTCTTTCTTCTCTGGCAAATGCTTTCATATCTTGAGTGTATAACTGCTGGAGTAATGGAAGGACTTTTCAGCACAGACAACAACATCATTTTCAGCCTTCTGTGTGCACTCACCCAGATTTTAGGGTGTTCTCCACTTAAATCTGGATCCCCGAAAAAGAACTAGGTATGATGGAATCTCTTCTTGTTAACACACTTCAAGTTCATTGTCAAGGGAGTGACTAATAGGGATTACATGTTTACAAGTCAATGCTAGAAAAATACCTGCCTGGGACTTTTTTCCATAATTATATGGGTTACTGACCTAGCTAGGATGGGATTATATTAGATGAGATTAGGTGAGCATGGGTAGTACTCTATGAATTTTAGTTTGTTCTTTCCACTCGGAAATGGTACAGAGAAAGTTTTCGGCTGAGAAATTGACAGAAATAAGTTTCTGATGTAGGATGCTAAGGTAATGTTTTACTATTTTAGGAAAGGTTATCAAGGCAGTGAATGGAGAAGCTGTAATGTTTAAAGAGAAAGGAAATGAAAAGAAAACCTGACAGTCTCAGTAATATAATTCATGAAACAAAACTAATAAATTATCATAAACTGAGGTTGGATCAGGTGTATGAAAATTCTCCTTAGGCTGTTAATTTTTGGTGAATAATTACCACAGTAGTAGCAAAATATCTACTTTCCCATGAGTTGGCTAAAGAGTAGAGAGCCACTACTCTGGCTGAAATAACCATTAATGGGAAAATTATGTCTTGAGCCTCTGATGCGTTTGAAAAGTAAGAGAACATTTCCTTCATGTTGACAGACTGGAAGTCAATTGAGAATTAAATACCTAGAAAACAACTGAACATCCTGAACCTGCACATTTTGTTATGCAAGTAGACTACTTCTCTGAAGCTGGCCTCTGTTGAAACACCTCACTTTCCTGAGGCCAGGCAATTGGAAGCTGGCACATCAAGTTCTGCTCTCTCCCACCTCATAATCCTCACTTCCCATGTTTTTTTCTCTTTGTATCCCAAGCTAAGACCAATGCATTCTGTCACACTCCTCTCTGTTGATCTTTTCCTTGGAACCAGGATTCTTTAATCTCTTGAAAGATGTTGCATCTCCTGCGTATTCTCCACTTTACCTGATTTTCCAGAATACAATTTTTAAGAAGTGCAATTTTTTTGCTCCAAAGCACCCAAATAAAGTTGTAAATCATCTTGAAACCAAATAATTACAAAACCCCCTTTTTTGACCTCTTCATTTGCTCCAAAATTAATATCCCCTCTATTTTGCCTGAAAACTCCCTATTTGTATTCTTGCTTGTGTTGCCTTAACCCCTCTTCATCTAGCTGCTTTATATTCCCAGGAAGCTCATTCCTGACCTCCTTGCAGTGTATAAGTGCCATTGTTGCTAGACTTGCCAGTGAATTTCTGCCTTGCTCACCTTTTCCTAATTCACCTGTTCCTAACCAGCTTGTGTGCTTATTTTTTTACATGATTTTCAACCTCTTCTGGACTCTCTTATAATTCTGGCTGCCATTTCACTTCATATCTCACAGCCTGGCAGGTTGAATCAGAGAACCACAGAAATCCACTCGGAGGAATATAAGAAATGAGGGATCTAAGGAAAGTAATGAGACAAGAAGAAGTGACTCAAGGAAGAAGAAAGAACCAGAACTCTTTCTGCTCACCCTTACTCCACCCATCTGAGCTGCTCTCCACACCCTCCTTCCTGCCTGCTATGCTTGGCTCTCCCCTCATCTCCATGGTCACCTTTACAGTCTCCTCACAACATGCTTGAACCATGAGACTTAACAGGAAATACTTGAAAGCCCTGGAGACATATTTAGAAGGAAAGCAGTTATTAACTACTCCATGGGTATTTACTTAGTACCTGAAACAATTACCCATTGCATTTCCAGGTGAAGTTGGGGACAGGCTAGCATTTCAAGCATGTGTTTATTCCAGATGCCTTTTCCATACATCTCTCTCATATGTCTCTATAGTGTCTATATCATAAATAATATCTGGTTTATGTTTATGGACTTTGAATCCTTCCTGAAAGTAGATCTGTGTATGTTGTCAGAAGGAGAGTCAAAACAAAGAAGCTGAGGAATGTATTTACAGGAAGAAAAAAACCACATCAAGCCACACCAAAAACAACCCCTCCTCCTCCCCACCAAGACCCAGCCTAAGGAAAAAATAAAGAAAATAAAGGATAAAATTGTGACCTCTGAGTTCTGGAGAAGGCTTGGCTATTCAGAGCATAGGATAGAATCAGTCCTATCACTCAAAGTAGATACTAAACAAATTTAGAAATGTATCTGAAAGACTTTAAAACTTATCCCAGATAAGTTTTCTGTAGTTTTTTTAAGACTTAAAGGAACAGGCTTATAATGGGATAGATTACACATTGCAGCTAAAAAGAGTTTAGCAGAATAAAGCTAGCAGCAGTTTTACAGTGTTCTGGTAATCAGTGGAAGATCATTGTACAAGACACCACATTGTACAAGCCTGGTTCGTGCCTGTGCACACAGACCTCATCATTGTGAGGTGTGCAGTCAGATCAAAAACTTCTTTGTGGACTCAGAAATGCATATGAAAGGATGGGCAAAGACCTGGTAGGTAAAGGGGCAGGTTAGAATTTTTTTACAAGATAAATATATTTACATTATTATCAGCATAACTAGGTCATTTAAGAGTCAGATTTGCCATATACTTTTTTTACTAACATGAAGTCTAGGCACACATTTCCTGGGATTAAGGAAGATCAAGTTCCTTGATACTACAGGTTGTATTCCCAGATAATAGAGTGTGGCCACATCCACTTTAAACCATTACAAGGTCCTAGAAGCACTTTAAAATAGATGCAGATTAGTCGTCAAATGAGTATTTCTCATGATCATTAAAATCAGTATGTGATATGTAGGTATGGCCCAGTTCCAATCAGTAGACTTTACTCATGCATCTTTTCCAGGTCCATTGTGTCAGCAGAATTCTCCAGGCCACATGGGTACCACAGCCTAAGGTGTGAACACAGCAAGTGTAGGCAATGCCTGCCCTGGTGTTAAACTGGCTGCTCATGTTCAGCATGTTCAATTAACATGTTCATGCTACACAAAACACAGGAGCATGGAACAGAACTTTCTGAGCTATTGTCAGTTTTCAGTGGGACAACCACAGACAGTCATGCAGAAACATCTAGAGATGCCAGCTTAGATCACACATCAGTCAGGTTTCTCCACAGCTGTGTTAAATCTGAATCTCAAAATTCTGGCTCTTAGCAAAGCTGCTAAGTTTGTGCAGGGATGTTGAGAATCAACTAGATAAATCCCTGAGCAACCTGATTTAATTAAGCCTGCTTTGAGCAGGATATTTGACTAGGTGACCTCCAGAGGTCCCTTGCAGGCTAAATTATTCTGTGAGTCAATTCTAATACACCTATATTGCATTCGGTTCCATTAGTAGTGTCACTTCTCTCTTATGCTCCATGAAATAACACTAGGACTGCCTGTAGTTAAAAAAAATGTTGTTTGCATTGTGGGCTAGCAAGTTAAATGCCTAATCTAAGGGAACCAGTGCACTTCCATGGGGGTCCATGCTGTTCCTGAGACAGCTACACCAAAGCTGCATCATGTACAAACTTCATCATGTACACATGCCTCACCTCCAAGTAGGTGGTATGTGTGGTCTGAGTGATTCTCTGGTAGTCAGAAAAGAAAAGAAAATGTCAGATTCTTGGTTTGGGTAAACAAAAAAGAGTATTTGATTCTGGTGTGTGAAGAGAGCACCTCATGGCCAGAGTGGTGAGAGCAGCATGGTATTTCCAGATTTAAAACATACTAGATTCTCTTCATAATGCTTCATTGAATAAGACAATTATAGTGAAAGGACAATTAATGACTGTTTTCCCAAGTACAGACCAGGACTGTGAATGAAGCAAGGAGCAGTTCCCTGACAAGCAAACAAGCTGACGGTGTTTGGAAACTCCCTTAGAGACATGGGTCCTTTGTTTCATTTCTCACTGCACAACATGAAAAAGAAGAATTTAGGTGGAGCTGATGTAAACTGGGGAAAACATACTGTGGTCTTCCTTCAGTTTGCATCCTGGGGACATGAAGGACGGGGCCATAAAGACAATGAAGAGCATGCTCCTTTTCCTAATTTTGCTGGGAGTAGTGTCTGGTAAGAACATGATTTCATTATGCTGCTAAAATTAGAACACTGTTGGCTGTTATACTTTCTCTAGGGAACTTTATAATACATATTTAGGGATCAGACACAGATGGGAAAAATCAAGTAACAATTATTTTCCTACTGAAATAGATTGGGCTCTGTGGTTACAGCAGTATAATGAAGAGAATATGACTCTTTGCTGAAACACTTTGTTGGATGAGGCACTTCAATTCTAATAGCCACTGCTCAGTGTGACAGCACTGGAGTGAGAAAGGAGGTCAGCTCTCTAAGAAACAATAACTAGTAGTTATACTCCAGTATCCTCCTTTCAAGTATTGATAACATTTCTCCTTGAAAAGTAAAGCAAGCAACCAAACAGGACCAAACACTCCTTTTTTTTTATGGAAAGAGTGATCAAGTACTGGAATTGTCTTCCCGGGAAGGTGATGAAGTCACCATCCCTAGATGCGTTTAAAAATAGACTGGATGTGGCACTCAGTGCCATGGTCTAATTGAAGTGTTAGGACATGGGTTGGACTCAATGATCTTGGAGGTCTCTTCCAACCCAGTCATTCTGTGATTCTGTGAAATTTGTGGACAGTATTAGTAGTATGACATCACTAACTTTGATCAGTGTAAATACATGGGAAATTTGCCTATATGAGTATTTGCCCATTAGCAACTTTTTAGATCTTCAAGCTGTCTGAAGTCTGCATGGCACACAAAGCACTGGTATTGCTGTAAGCTACCTGCTCAGGTAGGGTCATTTTGCTCTCAAGGAACTGTAAGAGTTCTGCCATCCCTCAGGAACCTGTCAGTACTTGGTGGTTTTCCTTATGTTCCCAAAACTGATTAGGATATTGGCTACCACTTTCAGCTTTCTTTGAAAAACAACATTTTTCTAACCTGCATGGTTGTGGATATAGAAAATCTTGAAGGCGTTACTCAAGCATCCTAAAGACTGGTACATCACAGATAAATAGGTCTTAAATATACATAAACGTCTCCAAACTAATCATTATTGCTTTGTCTTGGACTCATCATTTGTCAATGACTGTCGTTGATAATTCTGGTAAATAATGGATTAAATTTCTTCAGAAATATTTTATTCTGCAAAGCAAAGAGGTAAGCAAGGATTTTTCAATATGGAAGGAGAGTTTTTGTAAAATTGGTTGGAAAAAGAAGCAGCCATTTAGATGCAGTGCCTAAAATTTCAGTTAAAGAGCAAGAGGTAAGAACTTTTGATTTAGAAAGACAAATTCTGAATAAACAGCCAATGAAATCTTGGGAGATAATACAAAAATAGCAACTGCTTTCTACATTTCTAAATACTGTAAATTATTTCATTGTTTTTATAAATGGTTTCCATTAATGAACTGTGGCTCGATGAGTGAGCTGAATTCATCAAGTACTGTCCACAGAAGATTACATTCCACGTTCAGATCCACTTATGGAAATGTGTCTCCAGAAGCCCCTCTCAGCCCAGCCTCATTTGCATGGGTGATTTTTGTTGATGATATTTTCCCGAATCTGTAATAACAGTAAAAAAAACTTAGTCCTTCACTGGATCTTGCTCCTGCTGACATAAATCAGTAACAGCTCAGCTGAGCTACCAGGGTGTCAGATTGACCTGTTCAGATTAACTCTTTCAGGTAGGTCCCACCTCACAGTATCCCACATCCCAGCCAGTACCTGTAGAGTATCTCCAATGCCATTTTTTCCATAAATGCCAGAGTAATCCCAGCTAGATCAGTGACCCATGAACCTGCTGTATCTGCAGTGTGGAAGCATGAGAATCTCCATGCAGCTGTACAGGGGCCCGTAGGCTGCAGCTCTAGTGGTCTCAGACTAGTTCCTGTAGCAGCTTTTCACCTTGCAGCTCTGCAGCAAAAAAACCCCAAAAAACAAAAAAACTTCATGAGGCTTTTGCTATATGATTACTTTTGCTACAGTAATTGCTGGTGTATGAAGAGCCTGTCCAGACCCAGAGTGGGCAGTATCTCCCTCAGTGTCTCCCTCTTGGCACAGAGTGTGTGGGAAGTTTGGCTGAACACAGCTGGCTTTCTTGGAGAGTGTTTTGGACGAGCCAGTGAAGCATCCCCAAGCAACAGCCCTGCCATAGTTTGGTGTTGAGGTGCATTGCTGGTTCAGGGATGTGAGATTACTGAAGTGCTGTTTCAGGGCATCAAAAGCAGTCCTGATTTATGTTTTCTGCACACTCTTCATAAGATGCAGCACAACAGGCCTTTGTCAAAAATACCAAAAACTAGAAACTAAATGACAGAGAAAGCAAGAAGTTTGGTTTGTGGGGTCCAGAGATCTGGACAAACAAGGAGCTTGTGCAAATCTGTTGGATGCCTCACCAGTACGTGGAGCTTCCCTGCAGTTTTGAACCATAGTGTGCTTTTTTCTGCATCTTCTCCAAAGACTCCGGGTTGCTCTTCCTTGCTCAAAGCAGGAGACATGACAGTACCACCCCTGAAATTGTTATTAACTCACACTACTCAAGAGCCAGGCTTGCACACAGCTGCAGTAGAAAGAATTGGAGGAGGGAAAATGGAGGAAATAGGTGCTGCAGATAGTGTAGTCCACAAAAAAAGCATTGTTTCTTTAGTATCTGGGTCTTTATGATTCAAGGTACTTTTTGATGTAACAGTGAATAGAGGTACTAAGTAGTACAGGGGGGACAATGAAAAACTAGAACGATTTTTGGCTTCTCTGCTTCTGTACAAAGACATATATGAAGGCAAATGATAATAAAATAATACTTCAACAATAACCACTCTGTATGACAACACTATAGGACTGAATTACAGAAAAGATTTATTCTTTTGCTTTAACACTGGATTTACTACCATGCAATTCCCTCATTCATAGATAAAAAAGGAGTCAGGGCATTTTGTGTTCCTTTATGGCAGTTCTTGACAAAAGCTGTGTCCTTGTTAGCTCAAGATTCCCAGAAGTAATTGTACGTTCATTTTCACCTTGCAGGACGAAGAACCCAGTTGCTTAAGGGCTTACCTGCAACAAGCACTGTTGAAGAAAACTCAGCAGCTGGTGTTTCAGTCTATAACTTCAATGTGACTCTTTCTCCATTGGCTTCTGAAGATGTTGCAATTCTTCCTACCATAGTAAATTCGAATCCATTCACAGAAGCTTTTGACATTAAATCAAAAGGAGGTCTTGAATTCAGTGTGAGTTTTAAGTTTGAGTAATTTTCAGTTGTAGGCTGATATTTTCTGGATTACTGAACACTGACAGTGCACAGTGTCTCATCTTTTAATCAGAAACGAATTTTAAATGCAGACTGTGGCAGTCCTGTAATAGATATGACAGATGAATAGCAATAGCAATTATGATTTTTAATTGCATCTAGGAAAAATCAGTCATCACAATAATTCCATTAGTTCTGTGCTAAAAAAAAATGTGCTTTTTAAAAAATAAGAGGTGAAGTAGAACATGGCGGATCTGCTTTTGTTTTTAGATTTTATCCGTAGTTTTTCAGTTTAATATGTATGAAGACACTGTGAAATTAAAGTGCCTTAATTAAGCCACCACATACAGCTTCTGTTTGTCCACTTTCACCAAGAATTAAAATTAATTTGTCTCATTCCAAAATAAATTAAGCTGAATCAGATCAAAGTACTTTTTAATTCTGAACAAAGCCTGTGACACATGAGGAAGTTATCTTGAGGTAAGAAGTTATAACCCTTCCACACATCTGTGACCTGTCTCTATCCATTGCACACTCTTGTCCTGTGGCAAATGCAGAGCAATTTCCATTACTTCAGGCTGATTTTCGCTGTTGAATAAATTAGCAAGTATTAGCGCACATTTGTCACAGGCAATGAGTGTTCAGATGCATGGTAACTTGTCATCGCATTGCAACTTGCTTGTATGTCTGAGCCTGAACAGTGACACTGAAGAGTGGCTTTAATAGACACAGATATAAATGGTGCAGAGTCTTAAAAAGGTGATTTGAATATCCTTTTCTGTGTGTTTCCAAGGAAGTTCGTGTTTTCACAGAATTGATACAACAGCTCTTTTCTTGTTCTTTTTGCTGGTGTTTCTGGGAGAAAATTTGGGAAAAGTAAGGCTGTGGCCCTGGGTGGTATTGGCTCATGGATTTGGTGTGCGTGGGGGGAGCTGCTGTGGCTCCCATGCTCCAGCCTCCCAGCAGAGTACAAAGCTCACTTGTGCCAGCTCTGATGGCTCTTTACTGCTCCCCAGATGGGTCAGTGAAATGGCCAGAAAATCTCTCAAAAAAGCCCTCTTGCACCTGTGAAACATAGGATTGTACAAATACCTGGACTGAGTCAGCTGAAGAGATCATAGAATTATAGAATATGATGCATTGTCTAGTCCAGCTCCTGGTTCTATATAGGACACCTCAGGAGTCACACTATGTGCCTGAGAGCATTGTCCAATCACTTCTTTAACTCTGCCAGGCTGGGGCTGTGACCACTTCTGGGTCAGACCACTGGGAAGCCAGTTCCAGAGTCCAGCCACTTTCTGGGTGAAAAGAATTTGCCTGATATCTAACCTAAACCTCCCTGAACTCTGCTTTGTGCTCTTTCCTCCACTCCTGTGTAACAATCAGAAGGAAATGGATACATCCATTAAACTGGCTTTGCTAACAGAGAAACCATAATGAAGGACTCCCTTCCTAAGCTTTATTTTGGCATTTTGAATTAAAGTGATCCCTTCTGCCTCAAAACAAAACATAGTCCTTTTTTATACCTGCTTGCTCCTGTCCCATGCCATCTTTATGTTGTGACACACATGAATTTATATTGTGCTTGTTGAGTGGGATTGAGAAGTTAATCTGAAGGAAAAATAATAGACACAAAGTCCTTCTTGTTTTTTTTCATGGCAAGGATGATGGAGAAATTCTTGTTCTAGCACAATGCAGGGTGACACAAGGATGAAAATAGATGGCCAAAAAAGCTGTAGACTGGAGACTGTAGGTGGAGATTGCTTCTTCCAAAGTGGCAGTTTTTATCCATTTCATACCACAGCCACATTATCAGAATGGCCTGTGAACCTTTCTGTGTTTTGCTTGAACTGTTGCTTTTTTCAACATTTCCTAAGTCACTTGGAAGAGTTTCAGAGAACGAAGAGTTTGAGCCAGTGAATATCAGTCATGAAAAAATCATAAAGCAAGCTACATACAAATTCTGCAAATTAGCAGATGAATGCTAATTATAACTCATAAAGCAAGGATAAATACATGGGTGTTCTTAGTCAATTTATCTGATGAAGATTGCTACTTTTAATTACTTACACTATGTTGTAGCAGATCTGTAGAATATTTCACAAAAGTGATGTGATTCAAAACCAGACACCTCAGCTCTATCTACTGCCATTAAATCTTTGCTAAGATATAGAAAAAGGCAGTATTTCGTGAATGAATTATGAGATTAGCTAAGTACCTGCTAGGACAGGCTCTTCAGTATTTACGAAACACATTTAATCCTGTTGCAGCAGCAGGAAGCAATATCATGTTTCTTGATATATTTTGAGACTTCTGAGAAAGTAACAGTTTCTGAGACCTCAGTCCTGTCCACTCTTCCTCACCTGATTTCTGTTTGAAGGTTCTCAAGAGCAGAAGATGTGTGGAATACATGAAAACATTCTGTTGCCTCAAACTACTTGGGTGTTCTTAGTGGTGCTCTCTGAAGATATTGGTGGAGTAGGGAGCAGGGAGCAGAGAAATTCTCATGTGGAACACGTGACAGACAGTTCAGGGGTGGAACTGTCTATCCTGCAGCTGCTTCAAGTGTGTGCAGTCCTGCTTTTATCAGTAAGCTTTGCTCCTACCTGAAGGAAAGGAGAATAGTGGCTCACAGCCTATTCCAGTGGCATGCTGCTCCCAAAAAGGTTCAAAAGCAACCTAGAAAGAGACCATTTAGATCCACACTTCCAAGGCCTTTATAAAGGTGGGGGAAGATGTGTATTTAGACACATTTAGTCTGGCTGTAGTAACAGCACCAGTGAAAATACTTGGCTGTGAACTTGAGGGATAATCTCCAGTACACATAACTTCTGCTTAGAACTGGACAGTTTGAAATGTTGAATTCATTGTATGTGTTTGCAGTATTTAGATCTCCATCAACATTGATTTTAAATATCAAGCTTTCCATGTTGTGACAAGCATTTTTAGAATGTTTCTTCTGTGTTAGCATCCCTTTTATGGGAAACTCGTATCTGTACAGTACAGGAGGAAAGGAGACCATCCTGGAAAGTTATTTTCTCCTGCAGTATTGTAACAAAAAGATCCATGAGGTTCCAGACAGCAGCTATATTATGTACCAAAAGGCACAAAACATTTGTGCTTCTGTTCACTGTCCTCCAACTCTTTGTTAATTGTCTTTATTTTGACTTCTGTCTTCTAACTGTGCTGACATCACTTTTGTGTTTGTCCTCTGGCCCACAGCATCTCATCTAAACCCAAGGATTTTTTCCATTATTCTCCTTCTGCATGCTCTTCAGTCTCCTTTATTCTGCAGTGTTGTAAATTCTCTGACATGCTACTTGTCGCATACACCCATGAGCCCCAACTGTTCTCCTTCTCCAGTTCCACAGCCCCCTGCTACTGGGTTCAAGTTTCACAGTTTTTTAGCCACACAAAACTCTTAACTGTCACTTTTTCCTTTTTTGTCCTTCCCAGTGAAGATCGAGGCATACAACTTTCAGCATCCTCCTGTTGCTCTGGACTCGTCCTAAATCCAGAATGATTGCATTTTATGTTTTGTTTCATAGAATATCAGTCTTATGCTACTACATATTCTGTGTTAAGAGGCAACATGCAGAGCTGGAAGCCTTTGAAATCCCCAAAACAAAATAAAGCAAATATTTGCCTGATCAATCTTGCAAAACTCAAGGCCCAGGTTACCATTTCAATTAGCTCAGAATTTTCCCCAAACAATTCTGGTGCCTCTCTCAGACAATGTACCCATGAAGTTCCCGTCTTCTGTGGTTTTCCTGCAAGTCTTCTTTCACATACAGGTTACAAAAGGAAGGTTCTGTTAGCTGCTAGACTATATGGTCTCCTGCCTACACACTCTTTATTTCAAGTAAAAGGTCTTCCTCCCCATGTTCCTAATTCACAGAAAAAGTGAAGCTGCCCTTTTGCCTTGCAAGGCTTTCTCTGAACTCTCATTCTCATCACACCTTGAACGCTACTGGAGCATGGTGTGGAAAGGAAAGTACTTGGCACAGACATGTACCTGCAAGATAGTCCTGAACTTGAAGACAAAGCATTGCCTGTGAGGCACAGCAGCTCTCTCCAGGCTATCTCCTCCTCAAACTGCTCCTCACACAAAAGAGCTTTGAGTTACTCCATGAAGACACACAACATTTTGGTCTCTTCACTCTCTTTCTGTCACATTTTTGTCACTTAGGAGAAATGTGCCAACAAGTAAAAGATTATCTAAAATACTCACTCTTTACTGATTGAAAGTGTCCCCTTATTTATATTCACTCATTTGGACTATGAATTTCATGTCTTGCATCATGTGCTAATAATGATCTTTTATTTTCAGGTTATTACTACTGGAAACCCTGTCCTAGATTACGAAACTATGCCAAAGAGTTTTGATTTGCAGATATATGTTGAAGATACAATTAGAAGAACAGACCTTAACATATTGACTATTCAAGTAACAGATCAAAATGAACATCCTGTATTTCGAGGAAATATGGCAATTCAAAGTAAGATAATGGTAGAATTTGAAAAGAACAATACTTGGAAAGATGACATCAGCTTAAAAAAAATTGAGCTCATACAATTCCTGTAGCTAAAGTAGTCTAGGCGTTTTCCTTTAGGAAAACAAGGAAGGAATAAGACACTCTTTTTATCAGAGCTTTGTTTTGCACGAAGAGTTGGTATGCTTCATCTCTGGAAATGCCCTTATATTTTTCTTGAAATTTTGTTTTAAAATTATTTAACCATTTTGAAACAGACGAAGAATTAAAAGATGAAAATTATACCAATAAATACATATGTTCTTTTTAACTGGAAAATTGAAGTTTGCAGGGGTTAGAACTATTGAATATGGGTACATATTTCTGTAATTTGCTGGAAACTGGACTGATTTGGACAAGCAAGATAAATTTCAAAAAGTGCATATTGTATGTGCATGAATTTCTGTGGGAAAACCATAAAAACCTTGCTTGGCAGATGTTTTATATCTGCATATTGCATTTGTGCCTTCACATGAGAAATTAAGTGGGAAATAGACTTAGGAGTAAAACCTCAGAGACTGTGATCTGTGGTGGTACAAATGGTAAGAGGCAGAGAGCTCTGTCTCCTACATGGGGCAGTTGATGTTAACCAAGTTTCCTTTTAGACCAGGGGCAAAGATTCAGGGGGGAGGAATGTGCAGTAGCCTTAGGAATGAGGCTGGAGAGGCTGGACTGCAGCTGTGGCCAGTGCAGGATTTGCACGTCACGCTGTACCTGATGTGAGTGATGTTGCCATCAATAGAAAGGATGGGAAGTAACTGTCTTACTCTCCAAGAGATCTTATCTCGCTTATTTTCTTATGAAGAAGACCTGAAAAAATTGTACCAGATGCATCAGAATATAATGATTTATATATTATGTGCTCACATGCAGACAGAACAGTTCAGTTCGTTCCACAAAGTACTGAGAGTCTGTTTGAAGATTTACTGTCCTAACAGCACTGTATGGCCAAGCATACTTCTATATTCAGTTTTAAAAAATCTGGAAATACTGAACTGTGATCCCTTTGTAGCAGGTATTCGGAGCTCGTTGCTAGCCCCCCAGGCCTGGACTGACCATAATGGAACAGTGAAGCCTGGCTATAGACTGACTTTTTGCCTGCTGCACAGGGACGGGTTCAGAGCAGCCTGCTCACGTTCAGCACTCCTCACTGATGCCTCCTGAGCACACTGACATCCCTGATTCCATACAATACTTAGTTTGTAAAGCAAATTAGCTTCCCCCAGGGAAGAGGCTGTGTCATCTTCTCGGTATAGCTGGTGTCTTGCATATCATGGGTGCCACTGGAATCTAATAATAATTAAATCTGACACTTAGAGGGATCGACACAGCATGAAACACACTATGTGAGAGCTTGTTAAAAATAAAGGCATCAGCTTAACTCTCAGCTAGAGCTGCCATAAATTGGTGAGCACAGATGTCTGATCTGTCTAACTGTGTGGCTTTAGTTAACGGTACCAGCCACAATTAGACACTAATTGCGCATTTGCTGTTTATGAAAAAGCATCTCCCTCTCATTAAACTTTGTATTCATATTGTTATCCTTTGGGAACAACTCATTATGCTGCTCTGGGATTTCCACTGCTCTGATGAGGAGCAGCAGTCAGTAGGGGTCACAGTGGAAATTAATAGTCCAGAAAGAGCAGATCCAGCAGACTCAAAAGGGCATAAATCAAATAATGTGATCTAAAGATCTGTCATCCTGTTAATTGCTCTGCCCAAAAAGAGATAAGTCTGCTGCCAGTGGTCCACTATGGGATAGCCCAGCTGTGAAAATCCATTCTCAGCTGGCATGGAAAGAAACGTACCTTGCACTGAATTATCAGCCTTAGAAAAGCAAACATTTAAGTCAGTGCAGACCATTTGCTACTTATCTGCCCCAAAGGTGTAAATGAAAAGCAGAAATGAAGAGGAAAGGCTCCGAGCTCTTCTGGCAGGGCACAGGGCATGGACAGGAAGAGGATGGTGATGAGGACCTAGCAAAGGACTCTGTTCTCCCCATTGCATAGTAAAAAACCCCACAGATGTAGCCCAAATGCATCATTTACTCCACACCCTGTGAACAGCTCAAGAAAGACCATAAGGAAATATCAGTCTTCCCCCTGAAGGGACAATTCATATTGCAGGGGTGGTTGCCTGTTTACAGATGTGTAATTCGTTTCTTTTTATCTTTTGAGTATGTGTGATCTTTGTGATGATTTTGGAATTGCACTTGTGAAGTGAGAAGATGCAGCAGGCAGTAATACATCCTGACAGCTTCAGTGCCTCAGTCCCTTTGCTGCTGTGCCCTTTACCTTTACCCAGATAACACTGAGTACATTTATATCCATGCAGCTGTGACCATCTATGTGTTGGAAGGGACACCTCCAGAACGCATTTACCAGGTAGATGCAGCTGATCCTGAAAATGCAAAACTCAAAGTAAGTTGTATTAAACAAAAAACTCCAGAGATAATATAATCTGCTCTGTCTGAAATGTGGATGCCATTTCAACAACTTTCATCAACTTCCTTCCTTATCAGAAACACAGGAAAAGCTTTAATCTGGGAAAAAAAGAAGTATTCTCAATACTAAACTAAGAAAAACCAGCCTTAATGTTTGGACACAAACTATATTTTAACTTCTCAGCCTTCCAAAATTAATGGGTATTGAAGGCAGAATTTGGTATAGAAATCAGAGAGACAGTAGAAATTGTGAATTTAAAACTTTTAAAAGGCTTAAAAAATGTTTCTTGTAGATGGGAGTGACTAAAACTAAATAAAATTGTTAACCTTTTGTATCACAATAGAGATTCTTTTAAATGAGACAGTAAGGAAATCACTTACAAGACAATATCAGATTTTTGACAATCCCAAGACAAACTGTGACCTTCAGTTACGAAAATGTGTTGGCTGATCTGGAAATTCGCTTGGTTTTCAGAAAAACTTTTGGAAAATGATAAATTGGTAGCTGGGGAAAAGTAACTGCACTTAGCTAAGAATTATGTTGTATCTTTGCTTTATTTAGCTTGGCTGAATAAAATATAGCACATTCAAGAACTGAACCTGAAGATGCTACTTCCATGTTTAGTGTTATTCAAGAAAGCAATTAGCTTTAAGTCTGTCCTCAGTCTTTGCCCAGTCAAACCGAGCTGGAGAGGAGGAAGGCAGAGCTGTGGGGGTTTAGCTCTGCTTTGTGTGCCAAAGCAATGGCAGTGAGTTCCATATGCCTTCTAACCCCTCACATATCTGAGCTATAAGAAGCTGCAAATAAAGAAATGCTGTTACATCCTTGGACAGATCTGCTCAGTGGCTTTTGCAGGTTATTTGCAAACTCTGTAACTTGCCCTGTTCTACAAGGCAATGACTGAATTAATGGATGTTTAAAGATAAAAAGACTAATTTCTTGTTCTCTTCATTTCAGTATTCACTACTTCCTGCAACTGTGCCATTCTCAATCAGGGAAAGTGGAGACATTTTTTCCACAAAAAAATTTGATTATGAGAAAGATCCACATTGGTGAGAATGCATTTTATTCCCATGGCCTCTTAGCTTATAGTATTCAGAGAAATGTTTTCTGACATACACAAAATGATTCTTGTTCTGTTTTTCTTATTTAACAGTTACTTTTTAAATATAACAGTGACAGATCCAGATGGACTCAACTCAACTAAAACAGTGAATATAAATATAATTAACATCAATGATGAATGTCCTTACTTCACCACGTGAGTAAAAATTTTCCATTGCACTCAAAACGTAGATGTTTTCTCAGGTTTACTTCTTTGGCACCAGTGAGAGGGTTTAACATAAGGGCAAACAACTATGACAACAAAATAATACTGAAAAAAAGTATTATAAAATTGCTATGATTCCTATTCTTATATTGGAAAGCTTTGTCCTAATGTCCCTCATTTATTCTTATTGTATTATTTATAGTATTCTTAATTTGTATTCTTAATAGTTTAAAGTTTTCCAGGCTCTGCCTTCACGCTAAGAACAGCCAAACCAACTTGTTTTACTTGTTAGCATTTACAGGGGTTAAAGTTATGCAGAGACCCGTGGACAAGTTCAGACAAGGAAATTAATTTCACCCAGTGTAAATACAATCATATGGAGTTTGCTCCTTATACAGGTGTGCATTTCAACATAATTGTGTTTATTCATGCAGAAATGTCTAGACATAAAAATATCTCCCTTTTGATCAGTCTTCCTCTTCCCAGACACACTTTTAAACAATCCTAGTGATCTTTGAAACATTGTTGTCTCTTACAGTGTCATAAGCAGGAAATTGTGTCATAACACACAAGTTAGAAATAGCTTTTGAGGAGTAATGGAGTCAGGATATATTGAGAATTTGGAGAAATGGGAACGAATATGCATGTGCTACAAGCAGGCTGTTTTGCTATGGAAAGCACAATGGATGGTTACTTCTGAGGCAGGAGCTTGACAATTATTACAGTTGGTCTGACTCTGTTATTGATTTATCTTTGTCACTTGCATGAGACACTGATGGGATTCAAGGCACTGTCATTGTGTCTCCTGATTGTGAGACTATACAAGGTCCCTGCTGAGAGTATTTATGATGGATTCTCTTCTGCCATCTCTGCTAAAGTGAAGACAGGATAGCACCTGGGCCATACCAGGAGATTCCAGCCACTTGTAAAGAGCAATCTTCTGGATGTTGTCTCAACCCAGAGCAATGCATGGCTCCTGGGCTGAGGCAAATGATTTGGACCTTGATGGATAAAGGGGCAAATAATCTGAAGAAACAAAAGAATTAAATGTTAGAAATAGGCACGAATCGTTGTGGTGGTGGTGGTGTTCTTGATGATGTTGTTTTTGCTACCTAATTAATACTTGAACCTCATGTCTGCAATAAACAAGAGTGTTAATAGCTCATTCCATGTTACTGTACTTCTGCAAGCAGGAAAAATCCTCTTCCCAGTGCCAATGTCTGCACATTGTGTTCTGGACTGATTATTCCCTCCTAATGTTGCCATTTCTGTGCATTTATCTTTGTGTCTGGAATACCACAAGAGATCTTTTAAATATTTATCTATTTGTTTGAATTAGTGAAAGCTGCAGTGACTTGAGAATCTGTAACACCTAAGTTCTAAGACTGGTATGGCACAAATGCAGTCTGGTATTTGTTTGAATCTTCTCCCTTTTAGATTGACACAACAGATCAAAAAAGGCAGCTCAGTTTGTAAAGAATTTTAGATTAAATTGCACTTCGTGATCTATCCTTAATGTGTCCTTAATGTATGGCCTGTCCTCTGCTACAATGTGAGCTGCATGCTGGGGCTAAGTACTTCCTGACACTGTAATAATTAGTGCTGGGGTAAGAGCTGGGGAAACTTGAGGAGTTAGCAAACCTCCTTGATTTTACCCCAATCATAGCTGTCAAGAACAGAATTTCAAAGGGTCTTTTTAATTGTTCCCATAGCATATCCAAGCACATCTGGTTTTGGTGTTCACAACACTGCTTTGGCATTCAGCCTTTTGAAATCGTTGCTGTTAAAATCAATGGAAAACTCGTGGAGTCAGGAAAACAAAGGAGAAGACAAGAAAACAAACATACGTTTCCTTTGCAATTACATTGTAGTGAGTAAAAGGTCTGCTTGAACCATCCTGTAAAAAGCCACTGGCAGGTGGCAGACAGATGGACAGCAGGACACATCCCAGATGTAGCTGTGTAAGAAGTGGCCCCAACTCCTCCCCAGCTGTGCTGGTGTTTTGTGCTATGGGGATGTGCTCAATAATATCTCACTTCTTCCTAAAATATCTAGTGGGGATGGGATAATGACCTGCAGAAGGGTTGGCAGGGCTATGGGGGTGGAGCTGTGCTGTTCACAGAAAGGTTGGAGTTGGGGTTCCAGGGGGCCTAGGGAGTTTCCTACTTTGGGCCAAAACCAGTTAGAGTTGTGGGAATTCATGGAATCTGTTTCTTTCCACATGACTCTGGAAGTAACAGGAGAACAAGGAAGGAAGGGGTTCAATGCCAAGACTGAGATAGAGACTTCATAAATAACTGATACAACAGGTTTCATAAACTCCTTGTTTTCTTCTGGCAGTAAATTAGGTGTTTTTACTGAGAAAACCTTGTGTAATTTTTCTCAAGTATGCTTGCCTCTTTTCATATGAACTGACAGAACAGTTCAAGATAGTGTGTCTTCATAACCACTTTTAAAATTGCAAGTGGAGATCTTGAGAGGTGGGATCTTGTGTTCTGTCTCTGCAATTCTCTGCTCCAATTGCTAAGTGCCCCATGATGTCTGTCTTCAGGGAACAACAAAGGACTTGTGTTTTCCTGTACTAGGAACTACAGACCAGTCAATTACTTAAGTGGTGGCATAGGGTGTTTTAAAAGGGCAAAAAGTATTTAGTATTGAAGACACTTCTAATGCCTTTTTGAACTCTTGAGGTCCTTCAACTCCCTTTGAGTTCTAGAATCAGGAGACACATGTATGTTCATGTGTGTTTGGGTAATATAAATCAGTCTTCTGAAATTCTTTGCACTATTTTTGTGTCCTGGCCTATGCATGTGGTTCAAGTCCACCAATTGTCCACCTGAGTACCCATGTGAACATCAAACTGCAACCACTGTAAGCAATTCTGCACAGTTGCCTGCCAGGCTGTATCTGACCTCCATGAAACAGTCCATAGGAAATTTGGGAGCACTGGCATACCAAACAGCAGCAGTAGAGAACCATTTTCCCAATGTAAAATGCATCAGATGACAGATGCTGCTGGGAGTCTGAGGCATGTTCATCTGTTAGGCACCCAGAAGAGTGCTCCTTCCTGCCTTCGCCTACTGCAGTGACAACTCAGCTTTTCTGTAATACTGTTGCTCCCCAGAAGGCTCCAGCATTGATTCCAAAAGATGATTAACTGCATTACTTATGTAATTTTTGCTTTTTTCTTGCAAAATGAAGGAATTAAAGCAAATGGCTTTATGAGCTGATGGCTCTGTAGGGAGATGGATGGCATGACTTAACCACCCTCTACCTCTTCAACTTTCATCATTCTCTGAAAGTCAAATTGCTTTTACCGTGGAAAAGTTGCAGAGGAAGAACACTTACTTGTGTGGCTGTGTCATGCTTTATGGACATGCCACTTCAGCTACTGCTACATGTCCAGCAGGCAGAACCAGTGACTGGGATATTTATCCAGACATACAAATAGCCATCTCTGAGCCCAGCATGGCCATGGCTCTGCTGCTACTGTTGGCTTCTCAGCTAAGTCTGTAATCAGCTGCCCTTACAAACAAGATGCATGCTTTGCTGAATTTTATTTTGTAGAAAACAAAGAATCTACAGGATTCCAGAGGAGCAAGGCCTGGGCACCATTGTTGCCAATAGTACAGCAAAAGATCCTGATGATGAAGATTCTCCCAGCAGACTTTTCTACAGCATCCAGTCATCTGACAGACGTTTTTCCATAAATCCAGGTCAGACAAACAAAAATGTGACTTCTGACATATGAAAAATAATAATAATAAAAAAGACTGTCTACTTTGGAGAAATTATTTTTGCCTTAGTTTTAAATAGACTTACTTTATTTAGTGACTCACTGTAACAATAAGGAAAGCTCAGTCCCTTATTAGGGTCAAATTCTTTGCTCAGCTGACTAAGACTTGGTAGGATATCTTGAAGAAAGTAGACCAAAGGTGACTTCTTGACAAATATTGACTTGTGGCTGGAGGGTGGAAGTTCCTTGGGTGAAAATAAGATTTCTGGCTTATTTTTAATCTTTGAGGAGTGCAGTGACTTTTCTGGGGATCTTGAAACAGCTGCAGTGTAGTTAGACTATGATGTCCTCCCTCCTGTCTGAAATCCTCTCTAGCACTCAGGTGCACAGCAAATCTACACCTCAGGTCATTGTTCCATTCAGGACCCTCCTCAGGCAAGGATCTATCATCCAATCCATCCTCCATCATCCAAAAGATTCCTCTTTCTCATGGTGATCCTGTCTTCTTCATGGTCTCTGGGATCTGTACAACTGTTTCCCAGGGGATTTTCCTCCGAGGCTGGCATCCAGTGACAGCTTTGCTCCTTGTCTGCTATTGCTCTAGAACAGTTTATCACAATTGTAAGAAGTACCACACTACATAGTACTGTAGGGGATCAGGACGATCATTAAATGCTTGGGATTCCCTATGCCCTTTGGCCTTGTATTGCCACCTTCATCCTCAATTACACTCCAAAATGCAGAGGATGTATGCATTGTTCTTTTAACTCCTTTGTGCTCTGGGAATAGTACTTGTACTGTGCCATAAAAATCTTCTATTTTTGACAGAGGCTAACAGAAGTGAAAAAAAAGTACGAAGTGCATGGATGACCAGAGCACTTGGCACAGTCTGTCACAGCTCTGTTGATGTTCGAGTAGATTTGGAGGTGCTGAAAGATGCTTGAACAATAACAGTGGAAAGTGAAGCTGTCTTACTAGCTAGGGAGCAAGGACAGCACAGGTATTAGCAGCTCTTTGTCCTGGATGCTCTGTGAATGCACTCAGCTCTGGCTTGCAGTAGAAGCTTGAGAGTAAGGGAAACCTAAATGCTTTACAAGTCCTCTGCTGAGGCCTCCTAAGGCATATTTTTCAGCAATGGTACCTAGCCATTAATCCTATCCAGAATGTTCAGAGCCACTTTGTGTCATTAAAAAAAAAAACAAAAAACTAAACCAGCCATGATTTGCACAGAACAGAAGACTTTTCTTTCTGCTGTCTGTCTGTCTTTTGAGCTGCCCTGCCCTCTCACACATACACCATGACCATTTGCTGCTTCTCCCCATGGTAAATGTGACTTTTGGCTGCTCTCTGACAGGAACTGGAGTGTTGCAGGTGGCCGGGAGAATCGACCGGGATGCGCTTCCCCTGCGGCTCCATCCCAACATCTCACTGACAGTCAGGGTGGAGGACAGCAGCGGCTGTGACAGTGAAATGGAGATCACAGTCATTATTGATGATGTCAATGACAACCCACCAGAATGCAATCCTTCTGCCTTCAGGTATGGAGTCTCTTCCTTGCCTTGGTGCTGCCTTGCTGCCCCAGGCCAGTGCACAGGCTAGGGCACATCCCCAGACCTACAGCTGGAGGATCAAGGGGACATTTATCATCAGCCTGCCCATTGTACAGGGCTCTTGTCCATTACAATACATGGGTCAGATTCTGGGTTGCTTCCTCCATTGTTGCATATTTAGGTCTAGAATTTGCTTAAAAAAGAAATCAATATTTTGGCCTGTGATAGATGAAGAGTTCAAAAGGAGAACTTTGCTTTGACAGGAAATGTGTTTGTTTTAAACAGGAAAGAAGCAAATGAAAATACTAGTCCTGGGACATTACTTGTTGATCTTAGAAATTACTGTAAAGATATTGATGTTGATCCATCAAACAACCAATTTCGTTTCACTGGATTATCTGGTTTTGGAAGCAATTACTTTGCTCTGGAGTCCACTGTGTCTGGAAGACTTGTGGTCAGTCATTTGTGGCTTTATGTTAGATTACCCCATTAGAGAAGTCAACTTATGAAACCTTATAAGGGATTTTTAAAATTCATTGTACAAGAAAAAAATTACTGTAATCCATTTCACAGTAAGTATGATGTGGAGAATGACTGTTTTGACTGGTTGTGAACTATATACCCCTAGATAGGATGCTTTCTAAGGATTCTACAGAATTTAGTGAACAGAGACTGTGTTCTTCAGTTTTAAATAAATGTGTTAGATATGATTGAAAAAATATTCTTTTTTAGGGAGTGTGAAGCACCAACTTTGCTATGGATAAACAGAGAAATTTGATGCCATTTCATACTCATTTACTCATGACAGACTGTGGAAGAGCCTTGCTATTCAGCATGAAGAATTTAAATACTTGAGAAATCTCACATTCAGTAACTCAGTAACTGGTCAGAATCATAAAACCACTTTGAGTGGCAAATTTTCACAAAAGTGTGGTGGGATTTGCACTTCTGTGATTTTGCATGTCAAAATATGAATTCCTTATGCTGATGGCTGCTGGCAAACTTGCATTGGCCAGAAACCCCACCAGTTCCTGGACATGTGCAATGGTGGTTGTTTTTTGCTTTAAAAAGAACTGTGGGCAGCTACAGAAAAAGGGAAACAACAAAAATAGGCATTCTGTCTAGAAGACAAGAGTGCTACAGGAGCAGTAAAATGATTTTGTATGATTTACTTTAATTTTGGAACTGAAGTTTCCTTGTCAATGAGAGCTGCCCTTAGCTGCTTCATCTGCCAACATAAAAAGTGTTTTCCTCGCTGCACTGGATATGATTGCTGTCAAGCCTTTGATCCCTGTGTATGTACAATGTAACAGACTATACCAAGTAATTTGTTTTTCTGGGAATCTCCCTGAAGAGGCAACCAGCAGTGGATGCCTGTGTGTTTGTCCTGCTGCCCCAAAGTTTATGAGGCTTCCACAGAAAGATAGAAAGCTCAGAAGATTAGGATTTAAATCTGTGTGAGCCACATTCAGTAACAACTTGGTTCCTGGACAAACACTGGCTGGACCTGATACCTTTCTTTAATGTCTGTAGGCATGAGCTCAACTAATAACTCAAGCTATCACTGTTAGCAATCACAGATCCTTGTTGAGCCAAGAAAGGGCAGCATAAATAACCAGCTCATTACACAAGCTTTGAATTGACTAAGGTAAAAGGTCAAAGCCTTATCATCCAAATAATTAAACTTTTTGCTCTTAAGGGGAAGAAATTTTGTTGGCAGAAGTGTGAACATGTAGAAAAAGCCTGTAATTCAATCCTGGAATTGACTATTAGCCTGTGTTATTCCTACAGAACTGTTCTATATACCCAAGGGACAAATCACACTTAAAGAATGCTGAAAAGACTAATTAATTGTCATCATGTGTACTGTGACTTCATGTATGGAGGTATAAATATGACCGTGTTCCTTTCTATTTAGATGACTGAAACTATTGATTTTGAAAACCCAGCTAATCCAGGAGTTGAAATTTATACTTTGACTGTCAGGGTGCAAGATATTGCCCATCCTAACTACTCAAGCAAGTATCCCTTTTACATTTCTTTTGATAGTTTTCTATGCTGTAACAGCATGGAGAGAGGAATACCATATGTATTTTGAATATATGCATGAGAAAATTTCACAACCATACTTAACTATGATTTAATCTTCTGTTATATTTCCAGATATCATCTACATTTATATCAGGATAAAGCCAGTGAATGAATTTTCCCCAGTCTTCCATAATTTATCTTATGTATTTAGTGTTTCAGAAATTACTAAAGGTACAGTAAGTAGCACCAAAATGATAGAATTAATGTTGTCATGTTGTTAAGTGCCTTTTTGCACTAGATGAAATTTCATATATGTAGATGAAGCAAATGGCTCAAAGTTCCAGTTCAACTAGGGTCTCACCATACAACCACCTACTACCCTTAAATAGACTAAACTGGCAAAAACTCCAATTGTACAGATGGAAGCTGAGACACAGACAAATTCAGCAATTGCACAAGCAATCTGTGGCAGTGCCAGGAACTGAACTCAGATGTCTTGTTTTAGACTGTCTTTCTGCTCTTGCTAAATCAGCCTTTTGGAGGGACTGTGGTAGTGCACAGAAACCTTTACAGACTGACACAGATGAATGAGAACTCCCTTGGCCTAGCCACAGAGCACTTCTGCTGAGGTTCTCTACATACTCCTGTGTTTTGGTATTTGCTGCTAGCAGCCCATGCACAGAGGAGCCATAGCACACCCTAGGGAAATCGTGCTTATTTACACCCTTGCTTTAATTTTCTTGTGTGAAAAACTCTAAACCAAATCTTTAGTTCAGTTTCATCTGTACCTTCTGTTGCTTTAAATGCTAATGAAATATGGATTTTCTGTCTCTCAGTTGGATCTAGCATTGGAAGAGTGCATGCCACAGACAAGGACTGGCCACCCAATGTCATCACTTACTCCATCGTAGCTGGAGCTGGCACCAGGGATTACACAAATATCTTCTGGATCAGCCCAACGAAAGGAGATGTGAGGATTTTAGCTAGATTAGACTATGAAACAACTCAGAAACATGTTTTCACAGTACAGGCCTCAGACCAAGAGAAGCCTACAACAGCATCAGTGAGTAAATCCACTTTATTACTTCACCTTTACATACATCTTTCTCTCTTCCTAGTAAGAACAGTAAGACATTGGGCAAAGCACTTTGGTCTGTAAAAGGCAAATGCAACCCTGCCCAGTCATATATTACTCAGATGAAAGAGGTATTATTCACTCAGTGTTGGTTTCTTTCTCACAAAAAGGATAAAATAATATTTTAATATTTTTAACTGTGGTGTTTCCTTCTCAGACTTTTTTTTTTCTTATTTTACCCCGACAGTGAAATTGTTTTCTGTGCCCTAGACAATTTAAGTTATTCTTTATGGCTACAGAGGTACTAGAAAATAGAAAAAGCATGAGTCTTGAGTCCAGGTAACACAATCTAATTGTAGCCATGTTTAGTGGCAAATTATTTTTGGAGTCTTAGGTTTTCTGCTCAGACCAATTTTATTCAGACAAAAAGGTATAGATGCTACATCCACAAAGGTATTTTATAGTAACTTCTTTCAAAGCAGTTGAAAGTTCAAAGAATTTTATTTCAAATAATCCCAGTGTCCTTCACAGACAGGGTCCTTTTGACTTCTTTACACACTTTCTCCCTCATGCCTGCTTTACATTTGTTTTTTACACCTGTCTTGGGGGTGACACAGGTACTAGGCTTGCTTTTCATTCCAGCCAAGCACCACCCATGCAGTTGCTATCTAGGAGATATTTAATCTCTTTATCATCTATAATGTTTCAAGGTGACAATTAATGACAATTTAGCATCAGAAACTGTTATCAATATCAAGCTTATCTGTTGCCTGACTAATAGAAAAGAAAGAACTTTGGGAGGGTAATAATTTTCTTTTAGCTAGCTAATCCCAGATGACATCAAACACATCTGGTGCTACTCAGGGTGCTCCTACCCATGCAGGAGGCCACTGCCAGCATTCCTCTCTCGCTGGGAACAGTCTATAAACACTCTTCCTTTCATGGATCATGGATGGTTATTAGACACACTAAGAAGCCCAGCTAATGATTGTGAAGCAAATTGAGAGTTTTGGAAAGGAGTTTAGTGATTATGTGGTACTATTATTATTTCTCATTTTAACAATAGCACAATTCAGGTTGCTCAGACAGATATATCAGCTTGCAAACCCTTCACTTCTGGAAGATGGCTCAGGTTAAGGAACCTGTTCCCAGAAGAATGCGATCACAAGATGAAGAACAAATGATCACAGACATTTTGTGGCAGGAGCTAGGTTGGAAGAGGACTTCAGTGCTCTTCAACATTTGTTGATCAAAAGAATAAAATGGACAAAACCAAACAGCTTCTGAAATTAACAAAGTTCTGTCTCAGCACATTGAAGCAACTTCAGCTTGCTATTGCTCTTTTCTTCCAGGTAACTGTAAATGTTTTGGAAGTAAATGATGAAGAGCCAGTTTGTTCACCCAATTTCTTCTCTCTTCAAATCCCAGTCAATTTAGCTGTTGGGACCAATATTAATGGCTTCAGGATTGAATGTCAAGATCGTGATTCTGATCCCAGGTCTTTCCGTTACTTCATTAATGAAGGTACTGTGTCACAGTGGGCAAGCTGGGAACAGTGAACAAATAATAACGAATGTTGATAATTCACTTACATTTGTAAACAAAAATCTAACTTAGTTTGTGTACTACTTTTCATGGCGAGCTAGCTGTGATCCACAAGTTCTGCACATCATTATGCTGATCCTCTCTCCACAAGCTGGCTACTAGTGCTATTGGTGCTAGAAGCTAGAGCCACTCCCTTGCAAGTCTAGGTTGCCTGTCATATTAATAAATAGTCTATTAATTACACAGTTGACAAGTACTTCAGAATAATGAGCTGGAATGCTGTGCAGTGTCAAATTTCCCTTCCAATTACGGTTGAGTAAATCTTGAGAAACACTGGAAAGTTCTGTATCTCTGTGTCTCTCATCATCACATGGATGCTGGGGCACTGTTCAAAACAACTGCTCGAATCTGCATGTTGTAGGTCCATGCTGTATGCAATAAACTCTCCTTTTAAAAATTGTGATCAGCTGCATCCACTTGGAGATCTGTAGTGGTATGGGATGACACCCAGCTTCACAAAAATGGAAACAACACTCTCCGGGCAATTCCTTCTTTTGTGGCTGAGGTGGCTGCAGTGAAGGAGGGAGCAGATTGTCCAGGTGCCAGTAAAAAGCTGTAAACATCAAAAGAGATGCCACAGAGGGAGCTCTGCAGACATGGTATTGACACATGAATCCATACAATGGCTGTGTTAGTAAATCACTCTCTGGTGGTACAGACCTGGGCTATGTTGTGCATTGGCCTCTGAGCTGCAGAGCAGCTCATGGCCCTTTTTGTGTTCTAAAATAGGTATGACCTTCAAGGACATGTCAACTCTTGATCTCTGAGGGGCCACAAGAGCAAAACCAAAGCACATTTGATGCTTTTTCAAGGCTCTGATTTCTTGTATATGTGGTCTGTCCAGATCCTAATAGCTGGGGCTGGTCTGCCTGCAGCCCAGGCCATGAGCAGCTCTCCATCTACAGTGGACAGAAAGCAAGGGGTGAGGAGCAAGCATTTCTGCACTCTCCTCCCTGCCCCATGGTGCTGACAAAGCACTGGAGGCAATGAATGTCACTGAGTCATTAACTCTCTTCAAAGGCCACTGCCTCTGGGCAGATGGAGAAGCCATAAAGAGGGGCTGGAGCAACACTCCAGGGACACACAGGCAGTGAAATGAGCCCTGCACAGTGCAGGATCCTCACCCCAGCTGGGTGCTCTTGGGTGCTTCCCAGGTTATAAGTTCAGGTCATTCAGGTGACCTCTTGTGTGCTCATGGGTCTGAAGTGTTTCCACAGCCTCCTCTCTGCTATGTCCCCATAGAGGGTCTTATTCTAGATTGCAATGCTTTTATGACTGTATTGTTTTAAATTATTTTATATGGTACAAGGGAGATCAAGGAGCCCTTCTTGTCATTGACCTTCACCACTTGTTACACACATTTACTTTAATGTGGGATTAAAGTAAATGATTTTGCATTTTGGTGTTGCCTTTTTGCAGGCAATGAGAACAATCATTTCATCTTTTCACCAAGTGCTGGCTCCAACACATCTCGTCTGATTCTTGCATCAAGGTTTGACTATGAGAGTGGACTTGATACAAACTGGATTTACAGTCTGCGTGTCCACATAACAGATGACAATTTAGTATCTGCCAGGGACAGAACTACACGCTTAGTTAAAACTGGAACGGTGACTTTAAGCATCAGAGTTATCCCAAACCCAACTACGGCCACAACCACTACAGTAAGTTCACTAAAACTTATGTCCAGTTCTACATTTCTTTAATGGAGTAATCTCCACAGGAGTAAAGAAAAGAGGATAGATGTATGCAAAAGGAAAGCAAAAACCTTGAGTGCATCTAGTCCTGAGACGTTCTGAGCCCTGTGCTCATATGATGAAGCCAGAGGTGGTTGATGTGCTTGGTTTCATGAAGGATTAGTCCCAGGTAGAGAATCATAACATGTGTTTTGTATTCCAGTTTCTAAAACAAAAAGGGCAGGAAGCCAAAGTGCCGGGCACACTGCCATTACCAGGCAACTGGAAAGTTAAAGATTTTGGCAGCTTTATTAATAAGGAAAGAGCAGGGATTAACCTTTGCCTGGAACCTTAAAATTACCTCATGCATTTTGCACTACCTCTTTTTTAATTCATAACTATTCACTCCCCTAGCTGCCTTGCAGTTTTGTGTGCTTCGTTATCATTGGAGCACATTAATCTGTGGCTATCAAAGCTGAAACAGACAACAACAACTAGAAATCCTCATCTCTTGAAAGAGTCTCTTTTTCAGACCTGAGGTCACTGTAGTGAAAAATTTGGAGCAGCATGTAAGGAACTGCAGCAGTTTTGCACAGCCTCAGTGTGTCGCTGAGGTTTCAGCAGGTTTCAGACAGCAAATCCAGAGGGGTGGGATGGGTCTTTCCTGAGCTCCCTGCCCATGTGATGGTCCATATCTGAGCTGAGGAAACCTGCACAGCTTTTGGCAGCCCAGGTGGGATCTATCCTTGCACAGCCTGTGGAGTAATGGGCCTGTATCCCAGCAATACTGCTCACCCCTCTGCACAGCCATCCCAGCTGAGCTCTGTCATACCAGTTTAATTTTGAAGCTGATTTCCATCAGGCTGGTGCAGGATGTGCAGAGAGCTTGCTTTTGTCTTGCCTGTAGATGTGACACAGCCTGAGGGTAGGGGCCACTGTGTCCCTATCCTTGTACCAGTCACCCCTTCATGCCTTGCTGCATCATCCTCCATCACCCACAGTCCATCCATTCCCTGCCTCCCTGCAGATGGCATTACCCTTTTCTGTTTTGCATGCAAGAATGAAAATATGAGTATCCAAGTAAAGTGGTAAAAGAGGCCTTTGCTGTAAAATGGTCTAGATCTTCTAGAGGCTTCTGGTAACTGAGCCAGAACCAAAAGATCCTGTAAACAGCACATACAAGTCTGGTTGCTTTGCTATGAAAATGCTTAGATCCAAATTTTCAGCCTAATTAATAATTCTGTTCTTATCTAATGCTCTTTTGAGAAGGTATGAATGATTTTTTTCAGTGCCTTCTACTCCCCCAATTTGATGTGGAAGTGAAAAGTTTAGCTGAATAAACTTATTCTGTATTTCTTTCCTGTGCTTTACCACAAATACAAACAGTCTCAACCACATAACACAGCATTAAATCTGTCTCCTCAGAGATATCAGCCTTCCACTTTCAGGCTATTTTCCAGACGAACACTTCCATTACAGCAAGTTTTCCCATCACTACTCTTTACATGTGCTCAGTGCAGCAACTTGATGAGTCAGGAACTGGAAAGTTGGTAGTGTAGAAAAGAAGCCCCATCACAAAAAGTCACTTGTGACTTCAATTTAGGTGAGGATAAAGTGGTGGTGGTGATATTGAGATTATTTGAGCATTTCTCTAAGGATTGGATGTATCTTCTTTTGACAAGACTAAATGGGTCTTAAAATTATCCTTAAACTGGGAAGAAATAGATACCCTGCACAATTTCATACTCAATGTGATTACAAATGTCTTACAGAAAATTAAATAAAAACTTCAGTATAGTAGATGATCTAAAACTAATAGTACCACACTAGGTAATGAACTAGGTAGAGTAAATGAGTAATTTCTGAAATGTGTGAGGATAGTTTCATGGTGGCACCTTAATGAATGAGTTGCTAGCACCAAGTGATGTGCCAGCTCAGATATGTGTCTCCTGACACTCAGGAAGATGTGGGAGATTGCAACTGCTCAGGAAGTGCGTTTTTTCCTTCTGGAATAAGTCACTGGTAAAAAAGAAGGAGTTCCATTTCTTTTTATACAATAACCCAGTTCCTTAGGGTTCAACTCCTCTTACAAAGCAGGCTGAATGATCACTGCAGTGAAGATGACCTACTTCCAGTTTTGCCTTAGGTAACAAGAAAACATTATCTCAGTAATGGCAGTATTCCCAAACTTGCCCTCCCTCCAACTGTGTGCTTACAGCCTCTCGGGCAACCTGAGGCTTTAAAACTCCACCACGACATGCTTGTTTTATTATAAGATATTTCAACATTATCTGGAACCTCCCCTTTTCCTAGTGGGTGGGCTCCATTTCACCTGCCTTTGGTTGCCCCAGGAGCTCAGTGGTCGATCCCAGCCATCTGAGCTGCCTTGGCAGCCAGCAGGCAGGCACATGGGATAAATCAGTGCCTCCCTCCACCTCCCTGTGCCCATCACCTGCAGAGCCCTGGGGCAAGCTTGGACCGGGTGCCTTGGTGCAGAAGTTCAGCCAGATGAAAGATGATGTTGGTGTCAGTATGCAGCTTTGAGGAACTCTTCCTGTCTTGTTTTAAAAGCCTGGCTTCACTGTTGTGACAAAAAAGGAGAACCTCTACTCTCCATCAGCGTGGTACGTGCCATTTGTCATCACCCTGGGCAGTTTGCTGCTCCTCGGGCTGCTGGGCTACCTGGTGCTCCTGCTGTTGACCTGGCTCTGCACCCACTGCCCCCCTCGGTGAGTCCCCCAAAATGCCACCCTGGGAAGTCCCCAGAAGCACCTGGCAATGACAGAGATGGTTCAGGCCTTGCAACTGTGATGATATTAAATCTTTTATAGTGGTATGCCCCTCACTGTAGTAAAGGCTAATACCAGGTGCAGTGATGTTGGATGTTAATGATGTGAACTCAAGGAAATATGTCCGTGGCATTTTTTTTCCATGGGTTTAGTAACACAGCAGAAGGTAGAAGTGGAATTAGCAATTATAACCTCTAAAGGCAGCTATGCTATGCTATGAGCTATGCTCATGAGCCTCACTTGGAGCCTCAGACTGTGCTGACCACAAATATTTTGGTTTGTATTTAACCCCCACTCCAAGGGAGCTCCCATCTAGATCGTTACTGGATGCCTTTTCCTCCCTCTCAGCTGCAGATCCCAGTGTCCTTTATAAATATTGGTGCTCATGCCAATTTCATTGTTCTGGCAAAACTTCTGCAGGTTTCCTGGAGTTTTACCAAGCCAGTTACAAGGCTCTGGCCCATAAAGCCTACCTCTAAGTGTTCATGCTTGGCAAAAGGCATGGAAGCACCTGGGACCAGCTCTGAGTCACTGTGGGAAGTGCAGAGATCCCTGCTGGCTGCCTTCTCAGTGGGCTGGAGCCAGGCTGCCTCTAAATTGACTTTGTACTTCACAAAACAAAGATAAGCAGTCCTTTAAGTGGCTAGGATTAAAAAAGAAGGATTTCTACAAGTATTCTCAGGATCTGAACATCAATTTACAAGTTACATTAAATGTAAAGAACTACTATGTGACTGTGACTACAGTTCAAATTGTATGTGCACGGCATTAACAGCTTGTGATAAAAATGACAAATTAATCTAAGATACTGCTATTATTTATTATTTGGACAAATAATTTATTTGGAACCATGGTCTCCCATTAAAAAGCAATTTCTATATTTTCAAAAACATTTATAACTTTTCAAATATTTTAAAAGGTATTCTCTAGCACATCAGATCCAAAAAATTGACATTCCTCCCAGGATGGAACAAAATGACAATATCTGAAAATGTATTTTTCCAGATTATATAAATCCATTATGCTAACTTCAATAAGACTTTGTTATTTTAAAAGCATTCCTTCTTGAAGAAGTGTTAATGTTCAGGACTGTTTTCCTGTTTGAGGGCAGCATTAAATGATGCAGGCTTTCTGTGAAAGCAAAATCAGAAACCAAATAAATCAAGCAAATCTCAGAACTCAAGGAAACGCATCTTTCTTGCCAAGTGAAAGAGAATAAAAAATAATGATTTATTTATGTAGGGAAAACATGACATTTGTTAACTACACTGTTAATCTTCTTTTCATTACAGGATAAATGCTCCAGGTGTGTACCTCTTTTCTATATTTTAATGCTTCAAAACAAGATCTTATTTATGATTCTGTGTGAAATATGTAAATAATTTTCTAGATATAAATTTGATGCAATAGAAGGGTACTGAGATTAGATAATCCTGGACAATTATGGGAGGCCTGACAAAGTGATTTCATGGCCCTTTTAGTCATCAAATCTATTAACTATTAGGCAAAACCCAAATTCAGAATAGTCTGGTATTCTGGCATGTATACTAAAGAATTACTGTATTTTTCACACATAATTTATATGCTATCTGTTAAAAAATAATCCCAGCCATCTATAGCACCTTCAAGAGTCCTCTCCACTCTAATTCCCTGTTCTCTGATCATTTTCTCCCTTGACACCATTACTTTATATATATATAAAGATTTATTTTGAAGCATTGGTGCTTTTAAAGGGGTTTGTAAAACTTAGCAGGGAGATATATTGCACACTGAAATGCATGGTTTTTTTAAGCAATCTTGTTGTTTTTAGTCCCATTACATTTCTGATACAAAGCACTGCTCATATGGGCTGAGTAGGACCCTGCTTTTGTAATTCCTCTTCCCTCAGTCAGTATCTCCCAGCTGGAAAAAAAACACAGGACTAACAAACCCCACAAAATTAGCTGTTCTCTTGGTTGCCCAATTTGAGACATTTCAGTGTTGGCTGGTTTCCAAAAAGTGAATGCTTTTTGCTTTCTGAAAAACTGGTTCCCAAATGCTGGGCAGCAAAGGCCAGACAAAACAGGTTTTCCATCAGTGCTCAGGTTGAGATCCACCTGCAGCATTTCAGAGTTTTGCACACCTGGCTGCAAAGCACATTTGTGGCCAGCCACAGTTGTCCAAAGAAAGGCCATTAAACAAATTGGCAAGGAGTGAGCAAGAAGAAATCACAGCAACTAGTTGGGTATCATCCACAAATCCTTGCTGTCGAGATGCCCATGGCACTGCTGCTGTATTTGTTTGCATGTGGGATGAGTTAATAGTGTGGTAAATTCACACACAACCAAACTGTTCTTCGATCTGAATTTTACTTGACTGAAAATGCAGCTATTCCATGTTTTGTCCCAAGCTGATATTTGACACAAGTTTTGCAACCACAAACATTCATATAAGCAATAATGTGCGTTTCTAGTTCAAATATTCCCAAAGCTGAATTTCTGTATTTGTTCATATTATTTAGAAAGAGAAATTTGTTTAATAACCATTGCTATTCATTCATTACTGACTTTTCAAGGCTAGTCTTGATTAGTCATTGGCAATTGTGAATTCTCACTCTGCATTTGAAAAGAAATCAGACTCATTTAAGATGTCTCAGCATTTGAGTATGAAGAATGTCTGTTTCTTTGAGGAAATCTTAACTTTAGTATCTACAGTCACTATCAGAAAATTCTGATTATTAACAATGTTCATTTTCCTTTCTGTAGAAAAGAAGAAACCTAAGAAAGAAGTGCTTGTGGTAAGTACTGCTGGCTGCAAAAGAAACCCCAGTTTTGCCAGCCCCATCATGCAATATGATATGGAAGGTGACTGTTTACCAAAGGTAATATAAAAATGATAGGCAAGGAAAAAATTATTGCCCTCGAGTGCAAAACACTTCATTGTCCCAGCTGGCCTCTGTGTTTGGAAGAAACACGGAATGTGAGCAGTGCTCACCTGCCCTGGGACCCATTTGCTTCCAAGTGCCAAAATGCTGTACTTGAGGTCAGACAGGCTGTGCCCACAACAATGACAGGAACACTCAGTGCAGGGTGGGACAAGTGTCCCAACTTCACTGATGGCAGCACTGCTGAGGCACCACTGACCTGTGGAGCCAACTCTGACCCACCTGAGTGCAACCAGTAAGGTTTGCCAGCATAGCCAGGCTGGCCTTGATAAGCTGTTTGCAGCAAAATGTCACAGATGTTTCCACTGTTGGAGATGTTTCTTTGCTCCTGGATCTCAGGGCTCCTTCTTTTTCATAGACATAACTGCATAAAGGCTGCATAATTGCATAAATAGACATAATGCTCTCAGGCACGTGGTATGGCTCCTGGAGTGGTCCTCTGCAGGTCCAGGCAGGAGCTGGATTTTGATGACCCTTGTGGGTCCCTTCCAACTCAGGATATTCTGTGAATCTATGCAAGGCACTTTGATTAGTGAACTCCCTCTCCCCAAATTTTTCAGAGGGGATTGCCAAGCCTACTCTGGGTGGAGAAGACCCTCTTGTGGTTACACACGTGGAGGCATTTAGCATGTCAGAACTTATTAATTCTCCTTCGAATATCTAGTGATGAAACCCTACATCACAAATGGCTCTTGTTGCCGGTTTAGATTAAACCCAGCCTGGAGGAATGCAATATAGGTCACCATTTCCAAGTGACTTCACTAATTCACAGGTTTCATTTCACATTTTGCATTTCTTCACAGACAATGACAAAGCTAAACACTGTCTTTGATGGAGAAGCCAGAGACCCAGGTAATAAAAAGCAAGTAACAGAGGACATGAATATTAGGCTGGAACCAAAGTGGTTAGTTAATTTAAATATGGTTTAACATTGGCTTTTCATATTTCCAGTTTGCTATTTCCAAGGAGAATGGGAGCTATATCTCAAATAGCAAAAATCAAGACTGTGCCTCAGTAATATTTGTAATGGTAGAATATTCTTACAGCCCTTGGAAGCACACACCTGATGGTCAGACTGTTCACTACTTCTCTGCTAAACTGGAATGTATGGATGTGGTATAGGAAGGTAGGAGGGGAGGAGAAATGTGTTGCAATTCTCCCTCTGCTCTGGTGCTCCGGTGCTGTCATAGCTACATGGTCTCACCCATCTCATGTCTGGGAAATGGCCAGGAGATGAATGTCACTTCAGAAGTGCTGCCTTCATCTCCTAAACTTCTTCCTGGAGAAGTGGGTGGGTGAGCTACTGGCTCCTGCACAAACCTCCTCCCTTACAGCTAGTGTGTGTTGCTGCTGTTTATTCAAGGCTCAGGCATTGCTTGTTGGGGAGAAAAGGGAAGGCCATCAGCTGGCAACAGCTACTGTGTCCCTAGGCTCCAGTTATGCAAACTCTGAGCATATCTGATTAACCAGCTGGGAAAAGTGAAAATAAGGCAAAAGCTACAAACCTCAGGATGAGCTGGGGAGCTCATCCAGCACCCCAGGTGACAACCACAACTCTGCAGCAGGGCTCATTACAGGAAAAATATTTTTGTTTTACTGAGGATTGATCTGGCTTTCCTCATTCCCCTGAAACACAGCCCCTGCCTGAGCCCCTTACTTTGATGCTTGGCCTGGAATTAGGGTGCCCAGCCCTGTGCCTAATAGCTGAGAGCCCCAGCATGGATATGGGAGGCTGGTAAAATGTGACAATCAGACAATATAAGTTTTTAATAAATAGATCTGAAAATAGGTCTAAAACAATAGGTCTAGAAATCATCCAGAAGAAGGCAGGCTTGTTTCAAGGCTTGGATTCATCTGGCCAATTTCCACCCTGTAACTTGTGTTTCTTATTAGCTGGCTCAGAGCTGTTGGGCGTGTTGAGCTAATGGGAAACACTAGGCATGGAGACTTCAGTGCAATTTGGGCAAACAAGTGGGACCCTACTGTGCAATTAAGTCCATCCACAGGGCTGCTCAAGGCTGGTTTGATCCAGGTCCAAGCTCACCTGCTATTTATAAAGAGATCTGGAGGAATGGGCTCCAAAATCCCTGCTTTTTCCCTATTTAACTGCATTTGTAATGTTTTAAATATGGGTAGTCTCTAGGCTGCTGCAAGAGCTGCTTTCCAGTGTTCTTGCAGGACAGCTGGGGCTCCCTTTCTCAACAAACATGACCATACTGGACTTCAGGATGTCTGAGCCCATGCAAACAGTCATCCAGAGCCATAGCATGTGTGCCATGCCTGACACAAACTTTAAGCTCTAACACAGCTTTGTGGTGACAGCAGGGAAATGTGTGCTCCCCACTCCTCCCCTCTCTTCTCCACAGCTCATCACAAACCCTAGAGGATCAAAGGTTGCTGGTTTGGAAATCAGATTTAATAATTTTTGGGACATCATCTGTTGAATATGATTAAGAGGGATGGTCAGAAGCTGTTTCCTGATCTGGGCTGCTTTAATACGCCCACCTTGTAAGCAGTCAGAAAAAATAAGATGTAAAGAGATCCAGTTTCATCTCAAATTGCGTTAATGTGTCACAAACCATTAATTCTGATACAAACTGCAACATTTAGTAACACGTAACCACTGTTTATTTCCAAGCCTTAATGGTCTTTTGCTTGTCTCCTATTGCTAATGTTTAATTACTGAAAGTGCCATTATAGTTCCTGATTCTCTGTATAGCAACATACGGTGAGTTAAACTGGACACGTGGCAATTTTTTGAGTTATCTCTAGGTAGCAATGAAGTGAAGGAGAAGATATTTGTTTTTAATGTATGAGTAGAAATTACCCATAAAACCTGAATAGAGACAGAAATCTTTCTGACAAGGGGAAGCAGCCATGTGTGCTAAGCAACACAAATTTAACAATATTTTATATATGTGAGAGAATCATATAATTGTATGAAACACACAGTACTTCACTCTACTAATGGCCAAATGGACATCAAGCCTGGAAGAAAGCATTTTACACAAATGGAGAAGGAATGCATGCAGCCAAGACTCACTGGATCTCCAAGTCCTGAGCCAGTCCAGATGAGCTGACGTGGCCTGGAAGATGTATGCAGCATACTGTGCTCCTAAGCAGGTTTTGCTACCTCTGGTAGGAAACTCTGCATGACAAACTAGGCACAGACATATACAATGGTCTTGCTCAGTGTGGCTGAAGACAGAAGTTTTGTCCTTACAGCTATGGATGTGTTTGTTACACTGCCTGTGTTAATCCCTGGTATCTGGAACTTGGATAGAGTTATAGGGTGATAAGAAAGTTATTTCTTTTGGAATGGGAATGTCTTAAATATCCCTGTTCCCCTGCAAAGACAATTCTTATAGAGGCAGAACAGCCAACATCTCCTCTGATGCCCAGGTCCCCACAGAAATGAGGCTTTCCCTCCACCACCAGCTTAGCTGAATTCCAAGTGCTTCATGTTTCTCGTTTTCATCCCATGCTGAGATCTATCATGTCTTAATCTACTAAAGCAAGAATGATTTTAATCTGTTGTCTTTTTTTTCCTGTAAGTGACTGGCAGAATATACGAGTTCAATACCCGGTCGGGGGCCCGGAGGTGGAAGAAGAGCAATGAGCCCCTTCAGCCAACACTGGCTGTGCAGGTAATGCCCAGTGCTGCAGAAAATAGTGGCCAAGAGATGGATAGAGCAGAAGCACCAAGCAAAAAAGAGCCTTCAGAGAAGAGGAAAGATCTGACTGCAGCAACAAAACCAGCTGCCAAGCCCTCAGCAGGGCAATCAGAAACACCAGGCCAAGCTGGGCTGAGATTGCAAAAGAGCAAAGAGGCATCTGAGGATGGGGGGTTATCCTCACCAGCCCCTTAAGGCAGGAACTGACCTCCTCTCCCAAAATGAACCCTGCTTTGCTATTAAGACAGAGTGCATGAGATTCCAAGGCTCCTCCCAACTGACCCCCAAAGAATCTGAACAGCCAAAGAATCAGATGTGATTTTTCTCTCTCTCTCAGCTGTAAAACAAAAGGTGGCCATAAGGCTGTAAACCAGACCCAAAGGCAGGATGAATCTGGATGTACCTTTGGCAGGTGCATGTAAGAGCAGGAGAGAAGAAGAGGAAACAAAGCAGACTCATGGACAGAAGCATTCAGTGCCCACTGCCTCCTACAGACCCTGGTAGTTTTCCCCTTAGAAAAGTCTGCACCTCCAGCAGACATGGCCACATCCTCTGACTGCCTTTGAGAATGGCAGCATACACAGATGTGCTTTCTCAGCAGTGAATGGGGTCTCCTGTCCCTGTTGAGCAACCAAATGAGTGAAAATGTTTGCTGGTAAAAGCTAAAAAAATTTTCTTTAAATTCAGTATTTTATTTCAGCCCTTCCTTGCCCTCCCATCTTACTGTAGAAAAGACTAAAGCTTGAGAGAAGTTCTAGAATAGAGAAAAGCCACAGCTTCTTGTAGTATCTCAGGCTGTCAACACTTTCAGCTTATTTATCTTTCATAACACTAAGAGCATTCAATATCTTCATCTTTGGTATTTCCTTTGGCACATTTAATGCTTTATAGAATCAAGTAGAATATACTCAGAAGAATAATGACAGTAAACATATGAGGTAAAATAATATTTTCTGTGTGAGCATGTATAATGTAAGTGCTGTCTAAAAACCTAATATAAAACAAACAAACTCCACAAGATTTTTAAAAATTATTTTAATCTGAAGAAAAATAATTATAAATTATGACTTAATACTCTATGTCTTGGCTTGTTCTCTTTCCTGATTGCAAAAAAGTTTTTTGACAGTGAGGGACTGGTATCAGGTGGCAAAAGAAAATTTCAGTTAAAGCTGAGCAGGGGCAGTCAATGAAGATATTATTCACTCTCTCACAAACATTGTTTTTGTCATACAACGAAGGACCTGGATGGAGAAATCCACAGTAATTTCACCAAGGATCCTACACTTCACAAGAATGCCTGTTATGGTGCTGTACCTTTTTGCTGTGCTCCAAAGGAGTGGCTTGGCTCAGGAGCAACTTCCCTAACAAACACAAATCTTCAGTCAAATGTTGTTTCATTGCACAATCAGAAACCCAGTGTGTAATGAACACCACAATGATACAGATAGGAAAGAGTGATTTATACTCTCTGAGTAAGTTATCACTTTACCGTGTCCATGGCAGTTGTCATAACATTGTGTGACCCTCCAGCACCAACAGGCACAGCCATTCAGTGCTCCAGCCCTCCATAGTTTGCATTTTTTAGCTGTAAATACAGGACATTCAATTTCTATTCAGGTAGTTTTCCAGTGACATAAAGAAACTGCAGTTTCCTAGCACTCTGACACCAAACTACCCATAGGCATACCTGGCACCTCCAGACATTAAATTACCTGAAAAGTTAACCGCATTATTTTCATTCCATGAAGACACACAGGTTTTTGTATTTACTTTCCTGGGCATTTCTCTAGGCCAGCTGCTTTGCTTCCTTGATAATTCTCATTCTACTTCCGTGATTAAGGGATAAATAATTTTTTTTAAGGCAAGGGAGAGACAGACAGCCAGGAAGCTGGCAAAGAGGCAGAAGAATACTCATCTTTCTTTACTACTGTTCCTGCTGCTGAAGTGCACAAACTTATTTCCCTCTTTCTTGCTGAAGAAACCTCAACAGCAGCATAACCTGGTATAACAGCAGGTTCTGAACTCCATGTATGCAAACACAGTGTCATAGCCAACACTGCTGGTGCCATGGTCTCCCACAGCTGGACGAAAAGCAACTGCTCTTGTAGTGGTGCTCTAATACTCTAGTCTCAGAACAACTGACAATTGAACAAAGAGGAACCATAGATATAAGAGATGCCATATCCAAGCACTGACTCTGCCCAGAATGGCTGCACCCAGCTGAGGTGGGTTTAGCTTGTGTACTCAGCATTTGGAGAGGCAGGTTTATGCAAGATAAAGCTTAAATGAGAGTCCCATGCAACTCTCTGTGTGAGGAAACAAGTGTGCTGGCCATAAAGCACAGCTTCACCCTTCCTTACACTGTTACTTCCATACATGAAACGCTGGTCTCTACCTTCAACTCACTCTTCATCTTGATCTTTCCTATAAAACCCTATTTTGGACATGCCTAAGACTACTTCTCTTGCTTAGGAGCTACAAAATCAAGGAATAACAAGGTTTTATATGAGCATTAACTTTATGCTAAAGCAGCACCTTTTTCCTATCAGCTACCCTTATTACTATAGATGTTCCTCCCTGTGAAGGAATCAAGAATAAATTCTTGGTCTTATTAAGCCAAAGCACATCCATTCATGGCTCTGGCTTGTCTTTGGTAGGACAAAAGCAGAGAAGGTAGAACTACTGACCCAGGTGTATGCTTGTTGTTTATTCTATCAAACAATATGTGAAAAGATACTTTGAATATAAAAGCAACATATATTTTTTCATAAAATAGAGATTATAATACACTGTGCAGTGCAGCTTTAAATGTTAGAAACTTCTTCTAATTGTCAGAGGAGCTTTTGTGCTTTTTTAAATTCAGAAGTCTTTTGGGAACACAGAGTCAGTGTGTAGAATTGCCACTGGATGGACTGAGAGCAAAGATTATATGCAGCTCTACGCAATAAAAGCATTTGATTATTGGAACAATTAGCCAAGACCATGGGCCCTTTCCATTATTTGAAGCCTTCAGAAGTCAAGAAGAGCTGCTGTGTGCTGTAGAGGGTCAGACTAGATGATGAGGATAGCCTCTCTAGTCTTCAACAACTCTGTTAGTCCCTGTGAACACAGATACAAGGTATGAATTTTGGTGCCATTTATTTTAGAGTGATGGCACTGATAAACTGAGAGTGGAAGAGGAGGAAAGCAGAAGCAGACTGGTGGTTGAAGCAGACTGGCCAGGGGCAGCAGTTCCTGACCTACAGCTGCCTATTACATGTCATGAAATAATTTTGTCTAAAGTCTACAAAAGTTATGTGAGTTCTGCCACAGCTTTTGATTGCTGTGTCTCTGCCTATTGTACTTCTCTGAAATGCATCCAGATCTGTGGATTGACATTGCTCTGAAAGTTTCAAGAGTGATTAGGAAAGAGCACAGGTCACATTTCCTGACGGGGTCTAATTCCCCCAAGCAGTTTATGTGTGACCATGTTACTGGGGTTTTTGTGCTTTTGTTTTTGCTTTCATGCTGGTGTTATAAATGGCACTTACAATAAACATCAGAAGTCTCAGCTTCTGGCAACGTAACTTCATTTATCAAGGAATATAAAAGTGTCAATACCACATTCCTTCATGATCTGGAAGAGACCTACACATGAGAATAAGTTCAGCTGCAGAGGTGGAGAATGTCTGCCCAGGAGGCTGCCACTTTGTGACTGTGCACTAGGAGCAGGAGATGGTGTTTGGATCCCCTCAGAGAAGGTGGGTCAGACAAGGGGAGCAATCCTTCTCCTCCTGAGCAAAGAATCTGGCTGATGGGTTATTTTATGAGAGCCAGATTGCAACACCATAATATTACTGACACTTTAATAGCAAGCAGCCACAACTGCATATTGTACATGCCCCAGCTGGTTAGCTGTCTGACACCCCCAGCCACAACAGGCCCTTTGCAAAGCTCCAGCTGAAAGGCAGAACACAGGCTTGGCCCCCACTGGGCTCCATCTGCACATGCCTTGTCTGAACAAGTCCCTGCAAGCCCCCTGTGAGAAAGAGACACTAGAGGTGACTTATTGAAAGGCAGACACCTAGAATAGATCAGATGAACTGTGCCCTGGAAGAAGTTCTTTCTGCATGCCTAGATCAGATATCAGTGTCTACAGAGTACACACAAAGGTAAATCAGCTGAGTCTCAGTCTAGGTTGTTCAGGTGAGGGCAGGTCTGTGCCACTGTGCCCGAGGAAGCTGAAAATGAGGGAAAAACTGAGCATGGAGGTCAAGCAGGCACTGCTGCTGCCTGTTCAGATCCCAGGAGGAGATGGGGCACCACCCTTGCTTTGACAGTACTCCAAGGTCTGTTTTCTGGGACCTGTCTTAGGTTAATTCTAAATCTGGAAGCAGATATCATGAGATGTGCATCAAAGCAGTCCAGTAGAAAAGCATGGGGCTGGCCAGGACGTTAAAGAAGTCAAATACAAGCTTCAGAAAGTTTCTGCAGCGAGCTTGGTGTTACTGAGTGCAAGACACATTTGCAAACAAAATAGATAAATACATCTTACTCTGAATTGTGTTCAAGAACGGTTCCACTCTGCAGTTCTTTGGTACCAAACTTCAGCTGCTGTGGGTTAATAGATGCCTGGAGTTTGATTTTGGGGCAGGGTCCATGCTTAACATTCAAAGCTTGAGAAGAGCTGTTGGTGAATGACATGGGCAAGGCGTGGCTTAGTCTGGCCATGGAGTTGTGCTTCATTTTCAATTCCTGACTGTGAATAGCAGCTGGGGCCATGCAGACTGGAGCAGCAGTTCTGTATTTGCACAGGATGGGCCCCTCTGTGCCCAGCACTGCCTGCCGGGCAGCTGTGACAGCTGGCTGCTTCCAGAGGGGCCGTGTGTATCCCATGCACACGAACCTCACTCGGGGTGAGGTCCATGTGGGCAGTAGGGCTGGTGGACTCACAAGCTGCTGTATCTGCACATTTAGCACAGCTCTGAGCACAGCTCCCTGTAAGGGGACAGGGTGGAAATACAAGGAGCTGCTAGAGAGGGTCCAGCAAAGGGCAACAAAGACAATGAGGGCTCTGGAGCATCTCTCTTATGATGAGAGACTGCAGGAGCTGAGCCTGCTTAATCTAGAGATGACTTAGAGGGGATCTCAACATAGATCTCAAAGGCTGATGCCAAGAGGATGTGCCAGACTCTTTTCAGGGCTACCAATGACAG